GGGTTTTTTGTCCTTTTGTGGGACCATTCGTTCACTCATGCATTCACTGAAAAATTATTAAACACCTATTTATGTCAGGCTCTGTATTCAACATTAGGTTTTATCAAAGATGGAAGGGATACATCTAAGATCAATGGCGAGTAGTGGCAGAGGGGATGAACAAGCTTACTGAGCAGGTATCCCAGGCCATGTCATCCATCTCTGATGCACCAGCACCTCAAGTTCAGTGCAGACCTATGGCATGGAGAGCCTCACAGACAAACTGATCATCGAGATGATGTACAGCCGCTGCTACATAAGGGGGCAAGGAGGCAAGAGTTTGGCCTGAGATGATCACTTGAGTGTCCTTCATCACTATCTTGCCCAATTTTGACAGTGTGTGGACAAGTACCTTAGGCACAGTCTAGAAAGGAAATGGCAAACAGGGCTCATACTCTCAAATATAAGGGTCTAGGCCATCCCAATCATTGGGGAAAAAAAGCCCGTAATTAGTTCACTGATGAATCAGCTTGGTACATGGGACTGTAGGTGCACAATAACCCTATTCCCTCTGCCCAAACCTGTTTCCTTTCCTCCCGTGCAAGTGCTGATTCTAAGAATGCTCACTAGTAAACTTCCTGCACGTGGATTTTCATTTCAGAGTCTACTCCCTGAGAGATCCAACCTGCAAACCTACGACAGTATTCAATGGAAAAATCAAACTGCCTCAGGGACCTATAGTCTCATAATATAAATGTGTATGTGTGTTAATATATGATTAGACTGAACTTTTATTTTTATTTACAAAAATTTCTCCCTTTGCCATTTAAGCAAATTTGAATAAGAGGTGTTATCTTTTTAAAATAAATTTCAACTGGAAGATAAATGTAAAAAATAAAAAATAAATATTTAGAGTGATTGTGCAGAAAGAGCTAACATGGTGCCCCGAAACTGCTATCTTTAGAAATGACTGCTCACAACCTTGGTCCTTTGCTGGTGTCTGGGAACTTAGTGGTAAACAGTTGCCTATCCTGACATAAAATTTATAAATGAAGAGTGACTTGATGTACCTCAACTGTACAAACAGTATGGTTTATGTGAACATCTGATTTCCTTCTGGGAGTCTGGAATTTTGATATGTACACGAATAGTCCCCAATAAAACAGTTGGGGGACGAAATATGTAATGAGTTTCCCTGAAAGACAAAACTTCACATGTTGTCACACATGTTGTCACAAGTGATTGCTGGAGAAATTAGGCGTGTTCTACCCGACTCCACTGGGGACTTTCAGAAGCTTGTTCCTAGTTTCCAACAAACTTCATCCCACATACCTTTTTCTTTTGGTGATTTTGCTTTGTGTCCTTTGGCTATAATAAATCTTAACTATGTGCACAAACATACGCTGAGCCCTGTGAATTGTTCTAGCGTGTCACCAAACATGGGAGTGGCCTCAAGGCCCCAACACACAGGTGTCATAGTTTCAAAGGGAAGTCCTCTTTCAGAATTCACTTTAATATTTTAACTACATTGTATTTCCATTAATGAAAATGTCCAAAGATAATGAGTTATAATTTAAAGTATTTGTGATTACTCAAGGAAGAACACATTTATATTCACCTAGTTAATATTGGACAAACGTTGCTATCCCATGAACCTCCACCAGAGAAACTTGCTGTATGGCGTACATCTTGAGGACATGTATTTGGAAAGGATTCTGATTTACATAGCTAAGTTATATTTCGGTTTGCTTTTCTTATATTGTTAATTTATATACGAACATATTTCCCTAATGGGATAAGATCATACTAGACAAAGATTGCCTAACTCTTCTGTACTGGTACAGCACCAGAAAAAAATTATGTGAGATATAACCTCGTAAACCAATAAAACATTCTTCTGTTCTTTATTTATCCTAAATTGTTTTTGTTTACATAGAAAAACATAGTTTAAACTGCACTGTCTCTACATTTATTTCAGTGTCCACATTTGCTCACTAAAGTAATTAAGACTGATAATTTAATTGTACTTATATTGCTGCTAATGGTGTAGTTTTAAGCCCTCCTTAGGCACAGTATTATTTTCGCTTAGAAAATAAGAACACGAAATGTTTCCAGAATCTACAAAAATGTATATAAATAGTGAAAGGAGAGCATGAACTTCTTTAAGTTCTCTCACCATCTGCTGTATTGTTGTTATAAAATCTAGAAGTTGAGCTTCCAAAATATAATGGACACCTGTTTTGACAGTCCCATCCACAGGCAAATATAATTAATTAGAATGGAAAGATATAGTTAGATTTACGTTTTCACTAGATTATCTTTCAGTTTAGGAGGCTGATCCATCTGTTGCCTTTTAGAAAGTTCATGTGAGACAGAGACCTAAAATATAAACAATTGATCATTTATTCTCTTATTTCAAAATTGATTTCAGAGATAAGAGGAACAGTCAATATTCAACTCTTTCATAAGCAAGTCCTTTAGCAGAATGGATAAGAGAAGCTAAAAGATAATGGAAAATTCTTACCTTCTCCAGGTCATAGAGCTTCTAAAGATTATGGAAACCCCTCTATCTCAACTCCACAGTCCACATGATTTTTAAGATAAACATAGAAGAAATTATGAAAGTCACATCGTCTATGTGCTATAGATCATTAAAACTTTTTGTAATAGACACTAACTATAATTAATACATGCACTCTATCATTAAGGTAGATAAGACAATAGAAGCTGTGGGTTTGCTGAAAAAAGACAAGATCATATTTTCATTTTTATCTATTTTGAAATACCTTCAGAACACAAAAGTGAAGACTTCTGATGGGTGGCATCAATATAATCTGCAGTTCAGGAACAATTGGGACTAATTACCTTAGAGATGGCAATTGAAGTCATGAATAAACGAGACCATTTGTTAAGAACACACAGAGAATTAAGAGAGTTGATGATACGAACTTGAGAAAGCAACTTTTAAGGGCTAGAAGAGTCACTAATGATCAACAGGGCCGTAATTTAAATAACAGGAACGATAGGAAAACCCAGGGAAAAAAAATACTGTCATGGAAGTTAAGAAGGGAGATTATTTTAAAAAGCAAGCATAGTGAGCACTATGAAATGTCTCAGAGATGACTACTACCAGGAGACTTGAAAAAGAGTCATTGTATTTTCCTATTAAGAGATAAACTGTGTCAGAGCCAAATGGTGGGGTCAGAAGGGAGCTGAAAAAAGGTCAAGGAGTGAAAAACAAGGCAGCAAGTACATCTACTATCTCATGAACTTTGGCTGAGGAAAAGAAAGCTAAGGCAGCAGTTTTATGAGTAGCTTTTAGTAGTCAGGGTAAAATAAAAGTTTTTTGTTCTATTTGGTGAGATAGATGACCATGTTACAAAGGACAAGCCACCACCGATGGAAGAGAGATTAAAAATATAAGAGAAAATAATAATTAAGTAAGTCCTAGAGGCAGCAGATGGACTTGGGAAAAAGTTCGAGATCTCTTTCTTTAAGACAGGAGGAGGAACAGGAATAGTTAATAAAGACATGATAAAAATGTGTTTTTAGAAAGTGGACCAAAATGTATTTGAAGGCAAAAGAGAAGGCAACTGGATTTCACACCTGATGAATTCTCTTCTCTTTGTGAAGAAGTTAGGTCATTTGCTAAGTGTGACAACTCTGGGGACTTTGGACCAGAAGATGGAATTCACTCATTTATTCACTCAACAAATGTTACTGAACATCTACTATGTGCTACCACTAGATTGGGCACTGAGGTACAAAGACAAGTCATGGCTCTTACAATCTGTCATAGAAACAGCAAAATCATTAGTCTGTAGCATTCACTGCCTTGGCAGAGGTTTTCACAGCTGCTTTGTAAGCATAGAGCAGAGGCAACTAATTCAGGCTGTGGGGGTCCTATGCCAAAGAGCAGCCAATAAGAAAAAGAGAAAGGACATCCCAGGCAGAAGGAACAGCAGGGCCTGAAGGTATAAAGCGGCACGATAGAGACACAGCTGGAAAGGCAGGCACTGCCTATCAGAGAGAACAGACAGAGCACACCAAGCAGCTCTGCTGTTGGATAATGAAGACACTGAAGGTTTTAAATGAGGAACAATACCAGACTATCTGTATTTCAGAATGATTGATTGGGCAGCAGAGCAGAAAAAATGACTATGATGGAGACAAGACTTTGCTGTTGAGATTATATCTCAAGTCTAGATTTAAACTTGGAGAGCTCTATTCTCAAATGAACAATTATAAAAGGAGTTGCCCAACAAGGCAATGGAAATAGCTGGATAGTCTGGAACCCATGTTATGAGGAATGGCTAATTTTAGCTCGAAATAAAAGGAAACTATGGGCAGACTAGGTTGTTTTCAAATAGTTGAAAAGCCGTCATGGAGGAATGTAGAACTGTTTTGTGTTCGTCAGAGGATAAAACTAAGGGTTTTAAGGTGGTTTCAAAGGAGAATAAGGAGCAGCATATGATGCTTTAACAATTCTAACAGTTGCAATTGCCTAACAATTACACAGAATGGCTCCAGCCTCCTTATATCTGCAATCCAAAGCATTATATTCACCAACTTCTCAGATCCATCGCTACAATTCTGCTTATGGGTTAAGTTTATTATGTGTTGCAGCAATTTCTACTCAGTCTTTCTGCCTGACTTTTAAGTAATGCAGTGTACCTGTATATTCTTAAAAAGCAATGTCATGCTGTATACACACTGTGTAAATTAAATGAATCCTGAGATGTGGATACTCAATTTCAATCAAAAGAGTGAATAAAGCATAAGTATAAACAACAGACTCAGCAAATAGCTCATCATCTACTAAAGAATCAATTATTTATATATTCAGCATGGAAAGAACTGCAAATTATCCATTGACCTTTCCAGTCACCAGAGTATCCACACGGTCAGAACCATCTTTGACTATAAAGATTAACAATTCACTCTAGAGTGAAAATCCTTATTAACACTTATACTGGGGAACAGGATTAACGTCTTCCTGGAAAGCTGTTAAAATAGGCTTTGTGCTTGTTTCAGCAGCACATATACTAAGATTGGAATGATACAGAGAAGATCAGCATGGCCCCTTTGCAAGGATGACACAAAAATTTGTGAAACATTTCATATTTTTTAAACTTTGCAGGCCAGAAGAGAAGGGCACAAAATAGTCAATGTGTTGAAAAGCAAGGATCTACAACAAGACTCTTCTACTCAGCAAGACTGTCAACTAAAACTGGTAGTGAGATAAAGAGCTTTCCAGACAGGAAAAAGCTAAAGGAATAGACCACTCCCAAGCCAGTATTACAAAAAAAAGGTTGAAGGGACTTCTTTAAGAAGAAGAGAAAGAAAAAAATAACATAAATATGAATAATAAAATGGTTGGCAATAACTATAAGAAAACAAGACCCATACACATGCTGTCTAAAAGAGACCCAACTCAGATTGAAAGACACACACAGACTGAAAGTAAAGGGATGGAAAAACCTATTTCATGTAAGTGGAATTTAAAACAGTTGTGGTAGCAATACTTATAGCAGTCAAAACAGACTTCAAAACAAAGGCTACAATAAGGGACAAAGAAGGGCATTGCATAATGATAAAGATATCAATCCAGCAAGAGGATATAACCCTGGTAAACGTTTATACACCCAATCTAGGAGCACCTAAATATATAAAGCAAATATTGACAGATATAAAGGGAGAGATCGACAGTAATGAAGTCATATGAGGGAACTTTAACACCCCACTGACACCAATAGACAGATCTTCCAGACAGAAAATCACAGTGACCTTAAATGATATACTAGACCAGATGAATTTAATTAACATTTTTAGAGTGTTTCATTTCAAAGCAACAGAATATACATTCTTCTCAAATGCTCATGGAACATTTCCTGAGATAAACATCTTAGGCCACAAAACAAGTCTCAGTAAATTTAAGAAGATTGAAATCATATGACCACATGATATAAAACTAGAAATCAATTACAAGAAACAAACTGAAAAATATACAAACACATGGAGCTAAATAACCTGCTACTAAACAATGAATGAGTTAACAATGAGATCAAGAACAATATCAAAAGATACCTTGAGACAAATGAAAATGAAGACACAATGAATCAAAATCTGTGGGATACAGCAAAAGCAGTACTCAGAGCAGAATTCATAGCAATACAGGCCTACCTCAATAAACTACAACAAAAAAACTCAAATAAACAATCTAACTTCACAACTAAAGGACTTGGAATAAAAGAGCAAACAAAGCCCAAAGTGAGTAGAAGGAAAGAAATAATAAAAATAGAGCAGAAATAAACAAAATAGAGTCTAAAAAAAATCAAAACAAAGGATCAATGAAATCAAGAACTGGTTCTTTGAAAGGATAAACAAAATTGATAAACCTATAGCCAGACTCATCAAGAAAAAAAGAGAGAGGACCCAGATAAATAAAATCAGAAATGAAAGAAGGGAAGTAACAACTGACTCCACAGAAATACAAAGGATTGTAAGAAAATACTATGAGCAATTATATGTCAACAAATTGGACAATATGGAAGAAATGGATACATTCCTAGAAACTTACAATCTCCCAAGACTGAGTCAAGAAGAAACAGAAAATCTGAACCAACTAATTACTACTAATGAAATCAAATCAATAATCAAAAAATTCCCCTTCCCCTCAAAAAGTCCTGGACCAAATGGTAAATTTTACCAAACATTCAAAGAAGAATTGATACCTATTCTTCTCAAGCTATTTCAAAAAAATTCAATAGGAAAGAAGGCTCCCAAGCACATTCTATGAGGCCTTCATTACCCTGCTTGGAAAAACAAAGACGTTAGAAAAGAAGAAAATTATATACCGACATCTTTGATGGACATAGATATAAAAATCCTCAACAAAATATTAGCAAACTGAATTCAGCAATACATTAGAAAGATAATACACCATGATCAAGTGGATTTATTCCTGGGATGCAAAGTAGGTTCTATATCCATAAAGCAATTAATGTGATATACCACATTAACAAATTGAAGGATAAAAATCATATGATCGTATCAATAGAAAAAATATTTGACAAAATCTAGCATCCATTTGTGATAAAAACTCCCAACAAAGTGAGACTAGAGGGAACATAACATAATAAAGGCCATATATAAGAAACCCATGGCTAACATCATACTCAATGGGGAAAAGCTAAAAGCATTTTCCTTAAGATCAGAAATGAGACAATAATGTCTACTTTCACCACTTTTATTCAATATAGCATTGGAAGTTCTAGCCTCAGACAAGAAAAAGAAATAAAATGTATCCAAATTGGAAAGGCAGAAGTAAAACTGTCATTATTTGCAGAGAACCCTAAAGATTCCACCAAAAAACTGTTAGATCTGATAAATAAATTCAGTAAAGTAATAGGATACAAAATTAATATTCAGAAGTCAATTGCATTTCTATTCACTAATAATGAACTATCAAAATGAGAAATTAAGAAAACAATCCCATTTACAATTGCATCAAAAACAATAAAATACCTAGGAATAAACTTAACCAAAAATGTTAAAGACCTGTACTCAGGAAATTATGTCATTGAAGAAAGAAATTGAAGAGGATACAAATAAATGGAAACATATACTATACTTAATGGAAGGAAGAATTAACATCGTTAAAATGTCCATACTATCCAAAGCAATCTATAGAGTCAATGCAATCCCTATTAAAACACCAATGTCATTTTTCATAGAATTAGAACAAATAATCCTAAAATTTATATGGAACCATAAGAGACCCTGAATAGCCATCGCAATCTTCCGATATCAAACTATACCTCAAGTCTATAGTAATCAAAACAGCATAGTATTGGCATAAAAACAGACACATAGATCAATGGAACAGAATAGAGAGCCTAGAAATAAATCTACATCTATATGGGTATTTAATCTATGATAAAGGAGGCAAGAATATATAATGAGGCAAAGAGTCTATTTAATAAATGGAGTTGGGAAAATCTGAGAAGTAAATGCAAAAAAAAAAAGGGGGGGGGAACTGACCACCTTCTTACACCATATACAAGAATAAACTCAAAATGGATTAAAGACTTAAATGTAAGACCTGAAACCATAAAAATCCTAGAAGAAAACATAGGCAGTAAACTCTGACATTGCTCTTAGTAATATTTTTTCCTGATGAAAAATCAACAAATGAAACTACATTGAACAAAAAAGTTTTTGCACAGCAAAGGAAACTATCGACAAAACTAAAAAACAACCCTACTGAATGAAAGAAGACATTCATCAATGGTACGTCTGATAAGGAACCAATATCCAAAATTTATAAAGAACTCACATAACTTAATATTAAAACACCTAATAATCCTACTAAAAAATAAGCAAAGGACCTGAATAAACATCTCTCCAAAGAGGACATGCAGATGGCCAATAGACATATGAAAATATGCTCAACATCACTATTCATCAGAGAAATGCAAATCAAAACCACAATGAGATATTACCTCATACCTTTCAGAATGGCTGTCATCAATAAATCAACAAACGACAAGTGTTGGCAAGGATGTGGAGCAAAGGGAACCTTGAGCATTGTAAATTGATGCAGCCACTATGGAAAACGGTTTGGAGGTTTTTCAAAAAAAAATTAAAAATAGAACTACCTTATTACCCGGCAATTTCACGTTTGTGTATTTATCCAAAGAAAACCAAAACATTAATTCAGAAAGATATATGTACCCCTATGTTCACTGCAGCACTATTTACAATAGCCAAGATATGGAAGCAATCTAAGTGCCCATTAATAGACATTTGGATATAGAAGATGTGGTACATATATTCAATGGAATATTACTGAGCCATAAAAAATGAAATCTTACCATTTGCAACAACATGAATGGACATAGAGGTTATTATGCTAAGTGAAATAAGTCAGACAGAGAAAGACAAATACTGTGTGATTTCACTTATACGTGGAATCTAGAGAACAAAATAAATGAACAAACAAAATGGAAACAGACTCATAGATGCAGAGAACAAACTGGTGATTGCCAAATGGGAGGAGGGGTTGGGGGCTAGGTGAAAAAGGTGAAGAACTAAAAAGTACAAATTGGGAGTTACAAAATAGTCATGGGGATGTGAAGTACAGAATAAGGAATATAGTCAATATTGTAATAATTATGTATAGTTCCAGGCGAGTACTCGACTAATTGGAGAGACCATTTCATTATTTTATAAATGTCTAACCACTATGCTGTACACCTTAAACTAATATAAAATAATATTGAATTTCAACTCTAATTGAAAAATAAAAAATAAAATATAATAGGCTTTGATTATATGTCCAATGATCCTGTTTAGAAGTAGAAACTAGACCTCCTAAATGAGTTTTTCAGATAAACAAGGGTAAAGAAAGTAGTCTAAGGCAAGTAGATATTCTGAGGCCCCTGTCACAGAGAGAGAGGGTAGGGGGATGAGGAAAAAAAATCCAGGAAAATAATATTCACCATTTGCTGGAATTTAGAACCTATTACATGCCAGCCATTTCACCCAACACCTTAACACATTAGATCTCTGACACTCACAATTCCCTGCAAGATACTACTGGTATTTCCCTTCTACAGATGATGAATAAAATTAAGGCCCAAAAAGGCCATGCTGCAGTAAGTACAAAACTGGGATTCAAATCCAGATTTGCATCGGCTCCACAGTCTGTTGGCTTTCATCATATCATGGCTTCATAAAGGAGGTAGCATTTATGCTAGACCTTGAAGGAAACAAAATTGGCTTGTATGAAGCAACATATTCCAAGTGCAGACCACAGTCTGAGGACAGGCATAAGGGTGTCTGTGCTGCAGGAGGGAGCAGGGCTTCCAATCAAGTATCCAGGACCATAAAGTTTGAACTGATTGTCCATTTTATGGGTAAGAGACTCGAAGGAGTGTTCCTGTTTTGTCTTAATTTTCTGCTGACCTCAGTCAGCACTAGAAATCCAAACCTCCCTTTTTCATTATTGCCCTGATGTCCATTCTCAAATTACTCTCTACATCCCCTTGTTTGCTGCAATCCCCAATCCTAACTCCCTTTCTCTCGGTCCTTTCCTTGATCCTCTGGAGTCTCCAGATCAGTGAT